GAATCCAAGAAGCGGCCAGGATATTTGATATACGGACGCACTGGTCCCCGGGACACCAGGGCATCGAAGGAAACGAGGCCGCGGACCGGCTGGCCAAAGAAGGAACGACACTGCCGGCGCGGATGGGTCAAATGGCAACACTAGCGGGCATCAAGCGGCTTGCAAGGGAAAAATTACAAAGCCAGCACAGGAGATGGTGGTATAAAGAGCGAAGGCCGCGGTACGCGGACTTGGGGCTTGAGGCAGCTCTGTCCAGCCCTCCTGAACTGGCCTTGCCGCGGGCTACGTTACATCACCTGCTGGCGGCACGATCGGGTCACGGGGACTTCGAGCAATATCACCGACGTTTCAACCACGACGACGCTCTAATGATGTGCTCTTGTGGAGAGGCGAAAGACGTGGACCACCTGGTCTACTGTCGACTAACGCTGGCGAGGAGGCAACGGTGGCCGACCCTCCACTCTCGCAGTATGCCCGAGCCCATAGGTCCTATGGGATCTCTCGAGGCCTACTTCAAGAGATTAATCACCGACCCACGAGGCTTCGAGGCCTTTCTCCGCGTGACGGACTTCTTCCAGAAGATCTGTCTGCGGTAGCAGCATCCACACCTAGGTAGATGTGAGTGCGGACTACAAAGAACCTCCCGATTCCAAGGGACGATTTGGGAAAGAATGAAACTGGGGCACCAGCGGGAACCGGGGACAGACAGAACGCGTAGTGGCCACAAGGCATGATTTGGAGGACGATGTAAAGAGACGACGTACTGTAGAGTAGGTAGCCTTGGCTCACGGCCCTCCACGCCATATACCCTTCGGGAGGTCTGCGGTAAGGGCTCTAGCCCGGCCGCCACGGCGTTAAATACAACAACAACAACAACAACAACAACAACAGGGGCAGTTGCGAGTGCTCCTCCTAAGGTGAGTTTCCAGATATGATGTTGGAAATCTACATCGATCAGCATCGTGGCTAAGTAGAAGACTTGGCAGCGCATGGCTCAGGATAGGCATGTGTGCTTGGAATTACCTAGACGATCATTCTCTTTCTGATTTATTTGTCAGTGAACTTGTTCTGCTATTGCAGCGTTGCGAAAGTACGCCAGATTGGTTACTCTGAAGGGATGTACTCACCTCATCATTCGGGTATTGGTATTCTGACAAGAGCATAGTCAATACGGTGATGATATTTCGAGCTCATTGGCAAAAAATACGTACTCCCGGAGCTCATGGAGTGATATGTACGGCCATTCTCAACCTCATGCTCCAAAATGCTTGATCTCAGTGAAGCCACCGATGAGTCTTCGAAAAGCTTTGAACGAATCGGAACATAATCAGCGAGGTTCTGGAAACCCAAATACTCCGACAAAAGCCAAAATGCGTGGACTCACATCACCTGTTGATATTCCATCATCTGCCTCAATTTCCTGCAATTGTTGTCGTCAGCCAGTCATGACATGAACCGCACAGACAATCAGGCAAGCTTACGGCGTGCGGATGTTCGGTTTGCTGCATTCTTGCGGGATATGAGTCGCTAATTGATACTTGACAATCTACTCGCCTTGGGAATACGCTCCCAACAAATACACCTGGATCTCTAGGGTAGATCAGTCAATGAGTAGGAACCGAGACAAGAGTCAAGACGAAAGGGCAGTTCAACCCGAGGCACAGGAGGTTGGAATTGAGTAGAGGAGGGGAACGTGCGTTATAAATACATCGCAGGCAGGAGTGGCGTATCCCAAGTTCCAACATACTTCTAGTGCCGGACTTGATGTTTATCGGCGGAGTAAAGTCCCATCAATCGGTTCTCGAACAGGCATCTGAACTTGCGCCTGCACCAACAGCGCAGGCTTGCACAACAGACAGTGGCTTGTCATTGGCTCATAACTCCGCGCCCAGAGTTAAAGCGGAGTATCATGCGGTCCCTGGCTCAAGCAACACGTGTGATAGGTTACGTTTGCGGGCGTGAGGTGATAACCCCGTACGGGACGGCCGGGCTTAGTTACGCTGTAGCCGGGGAAAGGCTCCCACTCTCCATGGGACAAACAATTGGAAGAAATTGGCCAGGAGCCACTCTAAACCTCGGGCCTTTGTCCCTGTATGGTATCATCCTGCAGCTTTCTACAATTACGCCACGTTTCTCGGCGTTGAAGCCTGTCTAGTTGAAGGTCTCAACTGCTGGCGACGGCTAAGCAGCTGTGTGATTCTTGGTGTCGCCTGTTTCCCCAAGAAACCTAGACAACCCCTCCAGACGACACGAAGTTGTGTTTTAGGTCCAGTACTACACATGCTTGATATTCTATAGAATCGTTAATGCCTATCATTGCGTTGGCACTGACGATCTATTGGCAGTCGCCCTTTCAAGTTCCATGCCTCAGACCTTGAGCCAGATCTACATTCTGCAGTAGGGAAATTGTAGTAGCAATACAGGCCCGACTGGTCTCATCAAGCGCTGTGAGAAACAAACATGGTGGTGCATGGTTCAATGTGAGCAAACACCTATCGTTTAGCAGCCTGCCGCACCAACGGCCAACCGAGAGCACCAATCGATGAAGCCAACATCATCGATCCAGTGTACAAGATTAACGGCGCAAACCGCCCAAGACCGTACCCATTTGTCAGAGGTCTCATCACCAGCGGTGCAGAGATCGGGCCCGTCAGAATATTGCCGACACCTTTGCCAAATGCCATGAAACTGTATATGTGCCCCGGGTCTTCCGAGAGGGTCGATCCGAACTTGTTCCACAAACACGGGAATCCGCCCGTCGCCACGCCGAATACCAACGAAAAAGAAAGTAGGGGTACGAGGGATAAGGCATACCCCCAGACAGCAAAGGTCGCAACTGTGGCAATGAACGAGGAAGCAAAAACGAGGATGAACACGTTGTTGACGCGGTCTGTGATGTATCCGAGCGCGAGCTGACCAAAGATCGTGGCGAGATTGTTTGCGGCTAGAATCAGCGCCCCCATCGTCCCCGAGAAACCCAACGACGTTGCGTATATTGGTAGGTAGAGTGCGGGAATATAGTACCCGAGAGCTTCGAGGAAGTTGGTCAAGGCAAAGCAGTAGAATAGCGGCCTTTTGAAGAATTTGAAATCGCCCTTCTTTAGCGTACCCCGTCTTGAGGCTGGAAGCCGTCCTTTGATGAAGGGTATCATGGGGAGTAAAGTGACGAATTGTGCCACAGCCATGGCACGTAACGTTTTCTGATGCCCGTACTTTGCAAGGAGCGACTCGAGAAGGAATGGCAAGCCGACTCCGCTACAGCCAGCACCGGTAGACATGATTCCATATGCAAGACCTCTACGCTCGATAAACCACTCATTGAGCATCCGAAGAAGTGGATAGTTGACGAACAGAAAAGCAAAGCCGTAGAGGAACCCCTGGGTTGCGATGAGTGCAGGCACTGAAGTCGCAAAAGAGGCAGCCAGAAGGGATAAGGCGCATCCCGACCACCCGATAATGATCATGTATCGCTGCCATGCCTGGAAACGTGCTGCAAAGGGCGTTGCGAGTGGTCCGCCGAGGTAGTAGACACTGGTGGCAACGGTTCCAATGACGGCAATGTTGGAGTCATGTTTGAGGGTAGGGTGTTTTGAGTAGTAGTCTTGAAAGACGCCGTAGGACAGCGGGAAGCCTAGATATCCGTGTTAGTAAATGAGATGAGGCCATAGAAGACTTCAGCGTGCGACGAACATACCCCAGAGAACAGCTTCGGCAACAAAAGATGCAAGTATGAAGAGCCAAGCAGACAATCCTTTGTCTGCAGGGCGGATAGGCCGACTCGAGGCTTCATCTTGGATTTCTACCTCGCCACGGCGGACGGTCTCGAGGCTCAGGGTCTCGGAGTGAACGGACATTTCGTAAGACAGACTCTGAGAACATGCAAACAATCTAGAACTAGAGAAAAAATAGTACCTGATTCTGTCAGTTGGTATTCTAGTTAGCTCATATATGGCTGTTCAACTGCTCAACTGCTCAATCAAGGTGTTTGCTTCACGCTGGCGGTTGGCTTGTGCTCATATCGGAATATCATACCACTGGCCTGATGCAGGCTAAAGGCTAAATCTGCCTGCACTATGCACGCAGACCAAAGAGGTTCTTCTTATTCACCGAGATGATTGCGCGCTTTACTGCTGATGTGGGAAATAGCGATTATTTGCTTGCGCGACGTGGTTGTCTCTCCGTGCAGTTATGTGCTAGTACCTTATCTACAAGGAATACCTAGATCTAGCTCACCCTTTGCGGATCTAATTGGGACCTTGCGGACCCTTCCACAGCTCTTGAGCGGTAGCTTTTGAAACAAAATAACTAGGTACACATCCTGTTATGTCTCATCATTTTATCTCTATTGCTACTGAAGATCTATGCGACGCGCCCCGTTAACGCGACTCAGCCTCCTTGGAACGAGTGAACATTGGCCCCATGGACTAGCATCCATGTAACATCACTAAAAAGTTTCATATTAGAACGAAATCAATGGACTTCTCGGTTGGTTTAGATGACGTCGAAAGACCAATCCGCCTTCTAGCAGAAAAATCTCTTGGATGTGTGCGTGCGCGAGCTCCGTACTTAGATTACTAGCACACACAAGTTCAATGCTTCTTCGATCGCTAGCAGGTTTTGAGCTTAATCGGTTCCTCGAAACTCGACACTTATAATGTACGAAAAAGCGCTCACTTACTTACGTCAGTTCATTCATCATCAGTTGACTCCTTCGTTTGCTTTGCATCTGTACCAGTCTACACTGAATGCTGAGTCGTAGCCGCGAGATTCGAGGAGCGCATAATCAGAACAATGACTTCAAATCCCTCCCAAATTGTTATTTTTTATGCTCATTCGTTTTCGACTCTGAGCCTTCCTAGGTGGTCAATAGATAGTCCGATATCGTCCCAAGGAACTCTGCGCAAATAACTTCATTCTTCCCTCTCTGCTAGTGGACTTGACATTTCCATTTAGCCCTATCCTACTCACCTAGCTAGTTTTGGTAATTCCAGCCGAGGTTCTGCATGCTGTAGCCAGGCTGGCTGACCTTGGTCTGCTTAAGTAATGTTCGGGCAACCACATGAATGTCAGCTGATCAGAAGCTGAGTTCCTGGTTTTCCGCGAAGTTTCAGTGCCTGCCTACTACGATCGCATGAGGACTACGTAATTTACTTTGAGATGACCTTGGCAGTAGATGATCCACCTGCCTACTCACCACCGTCGTATGCATCAACAGTTTATACTCCTCTAGCGCACTCCGACGTGGTTCGGGTGTTGGCCCTTTACCCCGCCATTACTCACGATGCCGAGATTCAGTGCGAGCTATTGTCGACCGAGATATCCACTTGCCAGGAGCTCGAGCAGTCGTACGTGGCGTTGTCGTATGTCTGGGGGGACCTGAGCGATCTTCAGCTTGTCTATGTCAACGATCATGAGGTTTACATCGGAAGAAACCTTTCTGAGGCCCTCCGTCATCTTCGTCGTCGAGATCGTCCGATACGGCTCTGGACAGACGCGCTCTGTATCAACCAGAACGATATTGCGGAGCGAAACCACCAAGTTCATCAAATGCGCAACATCTATTCCTCCGCTTTGGAGACAGTTATTTACCTTGGAGATCATGATGGAAGCAACACCACAACCTCAGCATGGAACTTTCTCGAAAGACAGAGCGAGTGGGCACTAAACAAGGACGGCAACGAAGACACGCAATTACCGTTCACTCTCGAGGAAGATCTTATATACTTCAGAGGAGATGTGGCTGATGTTGAGCTCAGTGTCCTGAAAAAAGCCTGGTTCTTGCGCGTTTGGGTTCTCCAGGAAGTTGTTGTATCGAAGAAAGTGTCGATACAGTGCGGTCATCGTAGAGTCCCCTGGAACGACTTCTGCAAGCTCATATTGCTGAATCCACGATACCACGATCGCTATGGATACAGCATGCAAGCAATCGAAAGGGTCGATATCGTCCGCGACATGTTTCAGGCCCGCTGCGCCTACCAAGAGTCGCACAATTTGGCCCAACTCCGACCTTCCTGGCACACCCATGTCACCAACTATGGTGGTAGAAGCGCACACATCATTGACATGCTTGCCAGAGCTCGTCAGCTTGAAGCATCAGACCCCCGGGACAAAATCTTTGCTCTTCTTGGGATTTCAACGAACGTGGATCTTGACAATAGACTAATGGCTGTTGATTACGGCAAATCCAAAGTCGAGGTACAAACTGACTTGGCCCGCTACATCATGGAAGAACATAAGAGTCTCGACATATTGAGCTACGTTATTCACTCGATCAACGGCTTGTCTTCTTTACGTAGCTTTGGTCAAGCTGATGCGTTGCCTTCGTGGGTTCCTGACTGGGATGCAAGCCAGGTCACTCGAGGGCAGCGTCTGATGGCCATGCATGCCGCTGAACTCAACGAGGACTCACTACCTCTGGACCCCGCTAGCCCCATCGTTCCAACAATCTTGACTTACTTGAGTGAAGAGAAAGACGAGGAACGTGAAAGACGACAAGACATGGCCTCCAAGAGCATGGCATGGCTCAACGACAACAAGATCCTCCTAACGATGGGTTCGGTCATTGGCACCGTAACGCACGCCGGGCCCGACATCAGACTCCGGGGAGCTGATGAACTGTCATTTCAAGCAATCAGAAATCAATGCGACGACCCCACAGAGTTGCGCCAGAAAATCATGGCGAGATGGGCTCGGCTTCTTCTCCAGAAACACAGAAGGAAATACGTAGGGACCCACGATGACTCAAGACTGCCTTCTGGCCCATCGCAGAGTATGGACACTGTTCTTCGATCATTAGGGGATACTCCGGATTTTGGTTCCCACACAATCGAAAGTCATTTGTTCTCTAGAGGGCGACAGACAGCTGCCTGGTCCGGGGAAGGTGAGCAGGTTATCAACAGAGTCACTGACAGGACGAGCATGCTCGAAAATAAGTCTATCGGCTCCTACAATAGAACGGTCGATCCTCTTTCGAAATTTCACAAAGTTGTGTTACCACCCGGGGCGAGAAGGAACGATCTTATAGTCTCGTTACGTGGTGCGCGAGTGCCATTTGTTGTTCGGCCGATGGTCGACAGTCATGTCGCGGTGGAAATGGAAGAGGCTTACCTTTTTCCACTCCTCCGCGCAGGCTTCGACTTGTTGTGTATCGAGGACCCAGCCTTTCTCGGTCACTGCAAACTCGTCGGAGAATGCTTGGTCAATGAGTATGAGGACAGCCTCTGTCAAGCGGGCAACGAATGGGAGACTATCGCGTTTCACTGAAGATCTGCATGTATGTACACTCACAACAACACCAGCACCAGTGATCTTGGCAACTAAGATTAAATTTTGCTATCAAAACGAGTACCAAACCAACTTTTCAATCTGCTTTTTGAGTTTTCCGCCATTTTCGTCACACCGCCAGCTGCTTTGGCCCAGTCCCGGCACATAGCATTAGGCAGGAAGAAAAGCGAAATGATACAACTTTTATGAGACTCAAACCCAAAAATGAGCCTGCGACAGAATAGAAAGCAGAGTCAAAAACCGAGCGAGCCCATACTCCAAATCAAAGTTGCCAGACTAAGTGCCTTTGAATTCCATTGCAAAATAAGTGACCGGTCACTTATTTTGCAACGTTTACTTGGCAACACCGATGCAGGAGAAGCATCGCTTGAAGGAGTCGGCCTCAAGAGCGAATAGACCGCCGTGGTCGAGGAGGGTGGCGGGGTTCCAGATCTCGGGCTCGAGACGGCCAAGGAGACCAGTGTAGCTAGTGAGACCCTGAGGCTCGGTGACACCCCACGGGTTGCGCAGGACGATGTACTGCTTGTCGCCAATGACGCAGTAGCCGAGAACGGAGTAGGCGTGGTTGGCAACAATGTTGGCACCGTGGAACTCGCGGCCAGTGGCATAGGTATAAGCCGTCATGGGGTTGATGGTCTTGTTGTTGACACTGTTGGCGCGGACCAAGCCCAAAAGGGTGTGGGAAGAGTGGTTGTCACAGTTGTAGTAGTGAGGCGTGCGGCCATTGATCTGGGCCATGGCCTTGATGGGGTCACCGCAGTGAGTCTGGGTGATATCCGGCTGCTCAGAGTTGGAGCCAGTGATCCACTTGGCGAAAGCCTTCTCGTAGAGCGAGGGCCAAATGTCGGCGCCATCGCTGGAGCGGCAGTAGAGAGGCTCGTTGTCAGAGTTGTTGATGGGGATCTCGTAGTTGACGTCAACAGTCTCAGTCTTGTTGTTCTGCTTGCCACCCTTGTCGTGGAACTTCACAGACAAGAAACGCTTCTTGTCGTTGCCGTGGGTGTGAACGCGGGTGGCGCGGTTGATGGCGCTGGGGTCGGACCAGAACACAGAGAAGAGTGCAGAGACGAACCAACTGTTGCTTGAGCAGCCCTGAGTAGGGTCGTCGAACTTACGGTTGGTCTCACGGCGGTCACCAAGCTGGAACATGGTGATGTCGGAAATCAAGCGCTTGTTGACGCTCTGGAAGAAGTAGTCGTACATGTCGCGCCATGAGGCGTTGGGTGGCTGCCAGCGGCCCTTCTGCATTCTGAATGGAGTGACGAGTTCATTGATGGACATGGTAACCTTGCGGTTGGAAACAGTGTCGCCGAGCTCGTGGGCGTGGAGAACAAGGCGAAGCTTGCCGTTCTTCATGCGGGCCATCTTGACCTTGGCCTCCTTGAGGTCCTTAAGTCCGACCTTCTCGAGATCTTCGAGTCTGCGGACACCAGAGAAGTCGGGAGTCATGAGATCCCGCTCGTTGAGGATCTTCATGTCCTTCTCATCGTACATCTCAGCCTTCCTCTCCTTCTCGTTCAGTCTCATACCGGCGAAGAGAACAGAGTGGTGGCGCATATCAAAGAGCTCATCGTAGTCGGTCTGAAGAACATTTTGAAGGATCTGGGCAGCAGCCATGGAGTGACGGTCAATTCTGCGGCCAATGAGGGCCTCAGCCAAAGCGTAGGGATTGACGGCACCGACGCAGGGGTTTTTGGGTGGGGAGTCGGGACGGGGACCATCCTTGCTGAATTCGTGGTCTCTGTTCATGTCGACGAGGTCTTCATAGTCCTCCATGGTGCTCTGAGATGAAGAGCCGGGCATGCTCTCGATCTTGTGGCCAAGAATAGCCTCGACAAGGGCAATAACGTTGCTGTCTCTCTCGGAGCCGCGGATGTCGCCCATTTTGAATTTGAAAGTTAGGTAGAGTATGTTGTAATAAGCTAAAAAGATGTTGTGATTTGTTGATAGTGCTGAAGATTTGGACCTGAGCTGAAAACTTGCTGCTGCTGATGTTCACTTTATTAGAATTGCGTGACATTCGATGGGTCTTTATACCTTTTTAGACAGACTAGAAGATCACACTTTTCTCCAATTGTGCTTCAAACTTCGTCTCTGCAAGGTGAATCATGAATGCGTAAACCTCAACTCAAACAGCTCGTACGTGTTACGCAT